AAACCTCCCCATTCCCACGGATGGAAATCATGACCCTGCCTTGAGTGGCTGTTGAGTGACACAGTCCCAGTCTGGGGACAAGGACCCTGATGCTGGCACATCCCCTTGGCACCAGCAGAGGACTCTGCTGCAGCAGCTGCAGCCTATTCAGCCGAATTGTCTCTCCATTAAAAATCAGCCCAGGATGGATTTTGCACTGCTGGGCCCAGGATTTTCCACGTTTCCAACCTCCCAAGGTTCCCCACAGGCTGAGATCTCAGCTGAAAACCCCTCACCCCTTTCTTCCCAAGTTCAAATACGGGAGCTGGGTGGTTTGAGGGCTCCCCCAGGATTTAAGGGGAGCTGGGAAGGGCTGGTGCCTTTCCATAGTGAGGGGCAAAAGCAGAGGAGAAGGGTCTGGTGGGAGAATCTCCTGCTCTTCCACCAGCAGCATCAAAAGGGGTTGCAAAACCCACCCACCCAGTCAGGATGGGGGTTTGGGGGAGCTGAGACCTTGCAGCTCATGTCATGAGTGAGGAGCCACAGCCAGGAAGATTTCAGCTGGCTGGGAGGATCTGTGGAATTGCTGTTCTTGTATAAATTAGGTTTTGGGTGGGTTTTTTGGCTGTTCTGAATGCTCTCCTCTGCCCTTGGGACATCAGGCAATAGGCTTGAGGGTTCAAACCCTTCTCCAAACCTGGAGCATGGACAAGTGGGATTGTGGGCATCTGTGTGCTCACATATAACACATGCATGTGTGCCTACATGTGCACAATCCAGCTGCTCCCCAAATACACCCCAAAGTGTTGGTGCTTAGCCAGGGCTTAAAACTGCAGGTATTTGAGGAAATTTTTATTTTTTTTTTTAAAGGGGTATTTTAAACTTTCAGGTTTTCCTGAGCATTTATTTGTCAGAGTCTGCAAATATTGGTACTGAAGCTGTGAAAGTCTTCAAATAAACTCCTCACAAAGCTAGGTGATTGGCATGTTATTTCAAACACCCACTGGTTTGATTTCTCCCTGAGCAACTGCTGCCTTGGCCCATCCATATGGGGAGAATTTCTGCAGTAATATCAGTTTGTGGGATTTGGAACTCTCCTCCCAGTATTTGAAAAAACCTTTGGCCTGCTGGGTGGCTTTGAGCCTGTCACCCTCCCTCACACATCATGGTTTAAGGGACACTCTGGCATGGGGGAGGTTTCTCTGGTGTCTAAAACAAATTTTGAGCCGTTGGGTGACAATTCCTTTGGCTCATTCTCCTTCACATCAAAATTTCCCATGAAATTCGTAGGAGCTCAACAGTGTGGTGACTTTGTCCCTGAATCAAACTGGCCAACCAGGTCAGAATTGACTTGGAGAGGCAGACAGACTTGTTCCTCAGGATAATCCAGCCCCAAGGCACAAAACCAGAAGAAAAATGGAGACAGGACTTGGAAAAATGAATGGATGCACCAAGTGTTTACAGTAACAACATGGCCCAGTGCCTGCCACTGTCCCATTAAGAGTCTGCTTCCTAGAAAGGCAAGGAAGGAAAAGCTCTCCACTTGGATGCTGGGAAGGTCCAGCAGAAGCGTGCATCCCTCCAATCCATGTCACAATTTGTTTCCTTGGCAGGAAACCATCAGTGCTCTTCACTTTTACTTCCTGCTCTCTGTGCTAAGGGATATTTAGAAAAAGTGGTTTGTAACCACTTGGCACGGCTGGGTGGTTTTTTTTTTTTTCCTGCTTGTTTCTCTGCACAACCTCTGTGTTCCCCATCAGTGGTTGTTTTTCTTCCTTAATTCTCATTCTTGGGTTTGGGTGACTCAGTGCTGGTATGAGCTGTGCAGAGTCATTGCAGTAAAGATTTGGGAATGAAGTTAAATCTATTAAATCTATTCACGTGTGAGCCCTTGGTCCCAGAGAGAGATCCCAAAATTCTGGGCTGAAAATCAAGAGGGGCTTTTCAGAGGGTGCATCCTGGGATATTTAATTTAGCAATTCTGGGGCTCACAGCTATTTCTTTGGCTTTATGCTTTTGAGGCTTTGTGCTTTGGCAGCCCTAAGGGCTTCAAAGTTCTTGAAAAGAGTAAGCAGAGCAAAGCTTTCTGCCCTGGTGCAGGGGACCATGAAGGGCTTCTGTCCCACAGGGGGGTGATGAGGGACTGGCTGCCCCTTAAAGACATTACTGGGACATCAAGAGTAAACTGATTTGAAAACGGCTTCAGGATGAAAAGTGAAGGAATTCACAGTGAAAGAATTCACAGAACCAGAGAGTCATGGAATCACAGAAGGTTTGGCTTGGAAAGGACCTTAAAGATCATCTCATTCTAATCCCCCTGCCATGGGCAAGGAAACCAAGCACCAGCCCTGTCCAGCCTGGCCTTGAACATTTCCAGGGATGCACAGAGCAGTGGGTTTCCAAAAAATTATATTTGCAGACATCATCCATAAGCCTTGGGAGCTCCTCTTTGAGCTGCCCAGATTATTCCTGAGCAGAATGCAATGTCTGGCCACAGTTTGGAATTAACACATCCATGGAGCTGAGTGTGTCCTGAGCCTTGTTTCACTGAGAGAGAAAGGCCCAGTGAAAGCCAGGCTGGGGACCGAGATAAATGGCAAACCAAATGAAAACTAAATTGAAACCAAATGTATTTTTTCATGGGGACTTGTGGTCAGGCTCAGGAAACCTTCTCCTGGTGTCTGCAGGGGAAGGTGAGGAGCCTCTGAAAACCAGAGGTTTCCAACATCTTCGTTTGGTGGCTTTTGAGTGGCTGAGAGAACTAGAAAAACAAATTAAAAAAAAGTCTATGGGCTGGGAGACAAATTATTTTGAGATTTGTTAATTAATTACTTCACCTAACAATTTCTTCTAGTCTTCAACAAGAGCAGCCTAGAAGCTCCCAAGACCATGGAGACACAACCAAAAGGGTTGGCTATTGAATTTGTCACATTCCAAGGGGTTTTGTCCCCTGGGAAGCCCTGCCATGACCACAGGGCTGTCTCTGCACCTGGGTGTTGCCAGAACTGGTGGCACCAGCCCCATGGACATCTTGAATCAAGAGTGGAGATAATGAATTAATTGAATTAGATGGAGATCAAGATTCACAGAGGAGTGGACAGCTGTACCTGCAGCTTAAAATATTTCCATGGAATTCAACAACTCAGTTTCTACCCCCAATACTCATCTTTGTACATACCAGAGGAGACAGCAGAGAAATGCTTGTAGTAGAAATAAACTCATTTACTGTCAGAAATCTGAGGTGTCTGCATGTTACAAAAATAAAAATGTACAGTCACTGTCATAAAACTCACCTTTTTTTTTTTCTCTCCCTAGTATAAGTTAGTGCTTTTACAAACAGAAACAAACAAAACAAACAAAAAAAAAAGTCTAGAGCTAGATTTCCAGCTGGTTCCTCTCCAACCTCTCTGCATCTGGCCAGTGGGATCCCTTGGGGATGAGGATCACAGAGGGACACCCCTGATGGCACTGGTAGTGCTCAAAGCCAGCTCAGAGGGAGGTGGGATTTCCAAGCAGGATCTCAGGAGGAAACTGAGGCTATGTTTTTGTTGAATTATTCAGAGCACGTAGCTCTGTGTCCACGCTGCTTTTTGGCAAGTGTGGGAGAGCAGGCAAGGCCTGGCCTGGAGTGAGGTTTGTACCAGGTCAGTGCCCTGGCTGAATTCATTTCTCCCAGTTATTTGTCTCGCCCCAGTGACTGTGCCATGACCCTCACCCCAAAGCCAAGTTCACTCCACAAGAACAAAGGAATAAAGGTGCTGCCATGGTCCAAGCCCAGCCTTAACCCAATCCTATCCTGAACACACTCGAGGCTGGGATGGCCCACCCTACAAATGTGCTGTTTGCCTTTGCCTCCCGTGGTTGTGACATTTTTGGCTGGGACAGGAGCCCCTCATTGGGGGTGGGAGCACAGGAACCTCCCAGTTAGCCCTGAATGGTCCCAGCCACCCGTGACTGAACACAACTGGTGATGTGGCACCGTGGCTTTGTCTCCAGAAAAACACAAGAAGGAAGGATGGGAGAAACTAAGGAGTGCTCTGAGGTCTTGGCCTAAGCCAACATCAAATGTGTTTGCCTAGTCCTGAAATTGAGCTTTTACAAAATGTGACTTGTTCAGTGCTGCAGCCCAAGCAATTTTCATTTTTGGGGAGAGGGATCAGCATCCTCCTGGCAGGGAAATCATGGATGTGGGCTCTGGGCTCTCCAACCCAACAATTACAGGGAAAATCACTAAGAGCACCTTCTGGTGAAATGCTTTGTGGACATTTTTTTACAAAGCCAGGCAGAATGGGGTTGAGCTCAGCACCACTTGCAGCTCCTCAACGCAGGGTTTAGTGCTGGCAGATTTTGTCACCTCTGAGGGACAGCAATGGGGACGTGGCAGTGCTCAGCCAAAGGGATGAAGGCTGGTCTTTGCTGCTGGGCTGGAAACATTAGTCACCAGGAAGGGGGTTAAAAACAAGACATGAACAGCTCACCTTAAATTTTAATGAGCTGGAGATTCTCAGCAGCAGACATTTGGTGCTAGTGACTTCATCTGATTATTAAAGCCAGCAGCTGGAAGCTGTAGGTTCCTAAAAGCTTTTAAAGGGTGACTATTGGGAAGCATTCTAATGGGTTTTTTGGAAGATGTTGGCCCCACTGGAGAATCCTACAGGGGACCTGCTCAATGGTACCAGTAAACTCAGTGGGCTGCTACCAGTGCACTCCAGTGAGATGGAATATCCATCAGCACCCTGGTTAATGGGAATCCATCCCTGCTCTGCCAGCTTGAAGCTGGGAGAGAATTTCTTCAGGGACACAAAGCTGTGGGAGACCCTTTCCCTCTCTGGGTGTTACTTGTCCTTGACATTTGCACCAAGCTGTTCAGCAGAACTGCAGCTGACTCTCCCCATCCACCCAAAGCCCTTCCTGCCTTGCCAAGGCACAAAGAAATTCCAGCTCCCCCTGTTCCAGGCAACGTGCAGACGGAATTCTTTAGGGGGACCTTTCGTACAAGGTATTTTTGACTTGGAAAATGATTCAAGGCACTCAGGGCACGATTTTTTTTCCCAGATTTGGTCACCTCAGCGTTGATGAGAGGGGCAGACTGGGATACAGAGCCAGAGATCAGGGTTCACGTGTGCAACCACAGCTGCATCTTTCCGAAAAAAATACAGCAGAACAGGCAGAGGAGTGCATTTCACACAGATCACACTGGAGTGAGTGCAAGCCCAGGCATCCCAAACACCCAAAGCCTCGGGCTCCAGAGCATCCTGTCCTGCCTCCACGCCCAGAATAAACCCTTCTATGGAGCACAGCTAGGATTTCAGATCCTTGGAGAGCGTGTCTGTGTCACTGCTGGTTCCCAGGTGACTGTTGGGCACAATGCCCAGTGCCACCTCGTTCTGAGGCTTCCCTGGCATTTTGTTGCCTGCAAACTTCATAAATCGTTGCCCTGCTAAGAAATACAAAATGGGATCCAGGCAGCTGTTGGTGCTGGCCAGGGGACGAGTCACCTTGTAGGCCAAATTGATGGCATTGAGGGTCTGGCAGCTGAGGTCCCAGCTCCGGAAGGAGTAGTACAAAGTACGGGTGACGTGGAAAGGCAGGAAACAAACAATGAAGACCACCAGGACGATGATGATCATCTTCACCGACTTCTTTTTGGAGCGGGACAGGCGGGAGATGCCCCGGGTGGGCTGGAGCAGCCGCCGGGCCATCAGGCAGTAGCAGACGATGATGACGAGGAAAGGGATGCAGAAGAGCAGCACCAGCATCACCGAGCTGTAGATGACAAACTGGCCGAAGAGGTCCTTGCTGGACGTGTCGTGGCAGGTGATGGTGTCACCCTTGACGCTGGTGGTGACGAAGAAGAGCACGGGGGACTGGCACACCACGGTCACCGCCCACACGGCCGCCGACACGCGGCGCGCGTGGCGCACGTGGCCCCAGCGCAGCGACTTCAGCGGGAAGCAGATGCCCAGGAAACGATGGATGCTGATGCAGAGCAGGAAGAGGATGCTGCAGTAGAGGTTGGTGTAGAACAGGAAGCGGACAATCTTGCACAGCCCCACGCTGAAGGGCCAGTTGTCCCCCATGGCGTAGTAGTACACCAGCAGGGGCAGGGACACCACGTAGAGCGTGTCCGAGATGGCCAGGTTGAACATGTAGGTGGTGGAGGCGTTCCAGGTCTTGATCCTGAAGATGAAGGCATAGAGGGCCAGCAGGTTGAGGAAGAGCCCCACCACACACACGATGCCATAGGAGACGGGCAGCAGGACGTATTTGAAGTCCTCGTCAAACACGCACTTGTAGGGATTGTCATCTGTGCCACCTGGGTCCGAGGAGCTGTTGGTGACCCTGCTCCAGGCTGGAGGAATTGTGAGGTTCTCCATCACCCTGGGGGGAAAGCAAAGAGGCTGTAAGGACATGGAGGCAATGGCTCAAGAGGGCAGCACATCACTGGCCACAGACCCCTGGCCTCATGGTGCTGGTGACACAACTGAGCAGTCCCTGGCATGGAGTAGTTATGGTCAGGTGGATGAGGTGAGTTTTATTTAACCTCATTTTGCATCTGGAGCACAGAGGAAGAACTGAGCTGCTTTAAAGTCACCAACAAACACCAGGCCACATGTGTGAGTCCACCTCTGACCTCCTGCAGCCCAGTTCATTGTCCCAAACCAAACTTCCCACCAGGTTCACACAGAAATTTGGTCTCCTGCATCAGAGAATAGGAAAGATGCTCCATTCTGTGTTTAACCAGCCACAAGAAATGACTCAGCTGAGCACCAGTAAAAATGGGTCCTACTAAGTCCCAGGCAGAAAGGATTAGAAAGTGGAATTTCAGCATGCAATCCTCGTGACTGGCCCCCATTTCAGACGTCTTCAGCTCCTTGTGGTAGGGCAAACCCCACCATAGCTGCAGGCCCTGTAACCAAACCTTGCCAAAAGGAGGATGTTCTCCACCACAGGGGCCCTGCATGGCTTGGCTGTTGATGAGGATGAGGGGTCTTTAATGGGTTTAGTGTTGGGCTGATGGTGGCCAGGTCACAGTCCTGCTTCCTGGCCTTGAGCCCTGCTTGTGCAGAGCTGGTTTCTGCACGGGACTGATCAGCTGGGAGGACAAAAATGGCCTTGAAAGGGTCTCTGCAGACACACAGAGCCCGGCCTGTCTGTGAGGAGGGACAAGGGCCCTTTTGTGCCCTGGGCTCTGCTGACACACGATCTCTGAGCGAGCCCATGGGTCAGGAATCAAATTAAAATGCATTTCCTCCCTTCCCGTAAGAGAAGCTGGTTTGATGTCCCTGCTGTCCCCTGCCTTACGGGAAGCCTGTGGAAATGGGGGTTACACAGAGATAATCCAGCCCAGGAGCTCAGGGACCAGGAGCTCCTGCAGGAGAAAGGGTGTCCATGGAATGAGTGTGTGGGATGTACCCTGAGCCAAACCTCACCAGGATTTTAGGAGGATAAGAGTGATCCTGGCTTTTTTAGGTAAAGGGCTCAGCACTAACCTGGTGCCACCATGCTGAGGGACAGTGGGACCATGCCCCTTCTTGCAAAATAAACACCAGATCCAGAGCTATCCTGCCCCTATGTCCAACTCAGACCCTGCAGGGAAGGAGGCAAGGACAGCCTCCTCGAAGCTGCCAGCCTGGATGATCTCTCACCAAAGTAAAGCACTTTGGCACTGAAAAGCACCTTGACAACTGTTTGCTGAGGGAGAAGGGATGAAGTGATGCTTCCAGCTCACCCCAAGGGGATAACTCCAGTCCTTGCTCCAGGGACTGGATCAAACAACCTGTCCAGAAGTGCACTGACACCATCCCTGCTGATGTTTCCCCTTGGAGCAGAGCAGGAGCAGTGCTGGCTGAGGCTCACACTTCCCAAGAACAGGGGTGGAAACCACACACACACTCACACCCCCACTAATCTGCAATCTCTGCAAAAACCCCAATTTAACTTTGGGAGCCACTCTGGGATGACAATCAGGAGCCAGCATTGTCCTGCCCTCAGGGTGTTGCTTTTCCTGCACTCAGTTCAGCCTTGCTCCCATCCTGCATCCCCTAAGTCCTCAGCAGTGTGGCTGTGGATGGAAAGGGTTAACAGGGCTCTGGAAGATGGGAAAACATTTTCCAGCTGCTGTTCTCTGCAGTTTTTTTCCTTCCCTCTGAGCTTTGCAGATCTGTGGCCAGCCAGAGAGAGGTTGCCCACAGACCTGGCAGCTGATGAAACGGGTTGGACAGGCCACCGTGACCGAGGGAAGCCACACAAGATGCCCTAAAAGGCACAGGGAAGGGTTACAGAGCCCCAGAGGCTTCAGCCTGGCATGGGATTTCTCCATTTGCATTCCCTCTCTCCCCTGCACATAACCCAGCACTGATGGGGGGAGATCACCCTGAATTCCAGCCTATCTTCCCACAGGTTCCAGCAAGAAAACCCAACCCTAATCCACCCGTAAGCCAAGGTGGGGAATCTCCTCTGGCTGCCCAGGGATGTGCCAAGTTCCTCGTCTCCATCTTCAGGACAAGGAGCAAACAGTGTTTGCTGGTTGGTTTGAATGGAGCCTTGTCCTTGCTGTCGTGCTCTCCCTCCTTTCCCTTCCGGGAATGCAAAAGCCTTTCTTTTTCCTTTTTCACCCTTGTTTTGCCCAGAATCCCTGGGACAAGCCCTGCTGTGTGTGCCGGAGCCATGGCTGCAGCCCACCCCCTCGCTCAGTCCTGCTGCATCCGCAGGGAGCGAGCTGCAGAGGCCAGGGCCAGCCAGGGCACGTGAAGGCACAAGAGCTGGCAGTGGCACTGCCCTTTGCTGTGCCCACGGGTGGCACAAATGCCAGCCCCAGCTGTGACACCCCGAGCCCCCGGCAGGGACGAGGGGAGGGCGAAAGCAGCGACAATCCCTGAGGATGCCAAGAGGGATAAACACTTCTGTGACCCCCAAAAACAAGCAAACCACGATGCTTTGGTGAGAACCACCTGCATCTGCCTCATCACTTCATCTCCCAGCCCTTCCTGAGGCCACAGTGGGAGTTTTTTTCTCTGGCATTGGGTGCAGGTGACCAGGAGCAGCTTTTTGGGTGCCCTCCAGCCATCCACACACATCCATGATGAGGCTGCAGTGGCTGGACCATCTCTCTCTCTGCAGTGCGACCGTGGACCTGTTTATCCTGTGGGACATGGGAGTTTTTCCCCAGAAAACACCTCAGTGCCAGTGGATGAAGGCAGAACAGGAGAGGAGCCTGGTGATGAGAGGAGCCAGGACACATCACTGCCCTCAAATAAAGCACCCACAGGCATGTGCACGTGAAGTCAGCATCCCAAAATGCTCCTGTAACTGTATCTGCCAGCGATATTTAGATCAGCCAATGTGGAAAGGAGGGGGCTGTCATGGGAGAAGGTCATGGGCAGCTGAGGGATGGGCACCACTCCACAGGGAGACCACGGGACAGGCAATGAATTACCAAGTAAAGGCCTTGACTCCTGATTTCTGCTCCATTTTTCAGCATTCCCAGTGCCATCCCAGCCATGCTTCATGCTCAGGAATTTACCAGGCAGCAGCAACAAAGAGCAACCAAATCACGGCTGCCATGAATACGTTTTCACAGGGGGCTGATGAGGTTTAATTTGCCTTCCAGAATAATTAACATGGATTCATTTACCAGCAGGACCTCACAGAGGCAGCCCTGTTGTGCCACAGCTCCCATGGTTTTAGGCTGAAGGCTGAAACCACGATCCATTCACGGCATCTTCTCCCTGACTCCCTTCCAAAGGACACACGGAGAACGTGGGTGTTTTCCCTGCCCTAATTCAGAGGCATTTCGTGGACTCATCAAAATCCTCGCTCAGGATCAGGAACTACTCGAGACTCTGGGAAGCAAACGACCTAGAATAGTTTTTCACTGTTCTGGGACTGTGGTTCAAGCCCTTTGTGACCAAAAGCAAACAGGCAATGTGTTCAGATGCTCCTGAGCCTCTCTGCTCAGAGCCATGAGACAGGATCTGGCCGAAATCTGAGCCTGCCTGGTTGTCATCTGCCCTTTCCCTCTGGATCCTTTCTGCCACAGTGACCTTCAGAGCCTTTCTCCAGTGTGGGCTGAGGGCCTCTCCAGCTGCCCCAGCTCCACCATCCTCAGTGCTTCTCTCCAGCCATCCCAAGGCAAGACACCTCCAAAATTCATTTCCAGGATAGCCAAGCAGCTTAAGGAGTGTTTTCCATCTCCCTGTTTTATCCTTGATGGGTGGGGTCTAGCCCTTCCTTCACCCCCAAAACAGCCAGAACACCTTATTTAAAACAAAACCTTGCAAAGAATCTGTGTTTCTGTCCCTGCAAAAAAGCACCTTTGGAGGGCAGCTCCACTCCAGAAATGGAGCCACTCCACTGAAGCAGCCATGTGCCTCAGTTTCCCCTCCTGTCGCCAGAATGAGAAACAGCAGAGTTGATTTGTCTTCAACAAATTCAGTTGAATATTTTTCAGTGAAAAATATTTTTCTGGGGGTGTTTAGGTTTCCTAGAGAGTTTTTCAGTAATTTGATCCAAGCTAAAAAGGGGAGAGTCTGGAGAAAAGACACAATGAGTTTAAAAGAACTTTATGACTTTGCTTGTAGGTCAAATAAAATGTTTTGCTGTGAGAGAAATCATTCCTAAAAACTTCTGGTTTCCCCCAAGAAACTCCCTGAATTCCTCCCTGAATCCATCCCCCTTCCAGCCTTCACTTCCCAGGGGGTACCAAAAGCTCCTGCCTTGCTCCACACCATAGGAAGTCAATCGGGGTAAACCAAATCTGTGGCTTTAAAGTTAATTAAAAAAGCATTAAAACCATCAGTGAAAATGGTCATTAAGGCTACCTTCATTCAGTTGAACCTGACTCAATTCCCAGCATGGCAGGGCTCTGGAGATGGATCCTTCTGGAAGCAAACATCAATCCTGGCCAATAATTAATCCCTTCATCAATGCTTCCCTTCCTGCTTCAGCAAAGGTGATGCTCCCTGCCTGTTTTCCCCTGATGTGGGATTGGGGTGGATCCTATCTGAGCCCTCAAACTTCCAGTTTTACTTATTCCATGGGGGAAACAGAGCACTTGCATCCTTTAGGTTCTTTGGAGGGAGCAACAGCCAGAGAGAAGAGTGTGGGACCACAACTTGGTAACCCTTCAAGCCCCGAATCTGGGAGAAAGGACATTTCCATGGAGACCTCCCAGCCTGCTGCCCACACCCAGGGAGTCACAATCACCCTGCAAAAACCAAAGGCACAACCAGGATAACACAATTACCCATGGCACCACCAGAAAGCCCCACAGCAGGGGGATAATTTTTGGCTCCATCCCGTGGAGGCAACAGAGTCTTTGCTTCATGGGAGGTTCCCATTCAGGTTTGAGTGGGGGCAGCTCAGCAGTGGGGAGGGAGCCCGGCGTGGCCGGCAGCACGCTCCGCTGCCAGAGAACTATTCATGGCTTTGGCTCCATGTCAACAAACCCCAGATAAAAATCGCACTGGGCAGAGACAGGATAAAGTCACTCAGTGCCACAGAAATCCTTCTGGGCCTTTTATAACCCGCTAAGCCCCGGTACACAGCCATGTTTTGGGGCTCAGCACATTTTGGGGTCTCTCCCTTTGCACTGGAGCCCCTTAACCTATCAGCCACCCTTTGCTTGAGGGGAAACAAGGAATTTGGTGGTAATGAAACAGCCCAATTTTGGCAGCAGCCACCACGAGCTAGGGCCACCAACCCCCAATGCTGGTGGCCCTCCAGAGCCCAGTTTGCTGCTCCTCACCTCGTGTACAGGAAGGCAGTGGGCTGCCAAACGGCTTTTGCAATAAACTGATAAGAAAACTGGAAAGAAAGAGAAAAAAGATGTTTTGACCCCAAAGTCGTTCCTGCAGTGATGTCAGCCTGTGCCCAGCTCTGGGAAGAAGGATGTTTTGGAGGTTAGTTCCTGCTAGAAGGAGTCAAAGGGTTTGAAATCAGAGTATCACCCATTGCAGTGTAAATGCAAACACTCCAAAAGAAATTACATAGGGAGCCCAGCACGTAGAGAGGTGGAAAAACCCGCGGAGCAAAGCAAGGAGTCAGCTCCATGGTTTAACCAGAGCTGTGTACGGGAAATCACGGGTAAACAGCCAGTGAATTCCCCAGGGAAGGGAGAAACCGAGCAGCAAAGATATTATTGTGAATGAATGCATAAAAAATCCTACAATTCAGGCAAAGAGGACCAAAAGGAGCAGGAGGCTTCCCTGAGTGCCCAGTTTGAACCATTTGTGCCAGCACTTGCCCATGCCAGTGACTCCCTGCCGGCTGCTGGTGCCACTGCCCTGTCTTGGGGCACTTTGGGGCTTTTGGGCAGTTTTAGGAGCAGTATTGGGGTTGAGAGGAGGAGAGCAGGAGAGTCGATGTTCGGCTGTGTCCATGCAGTGCCCCACTCCCTGCTTTGTCTGCACTGGGACCCTGTGTCACCGATGTCACCCAGACAGCAACGAGTGCCACCACTGTATCTGCAGTGTGTGTCTGTGTACACATGGGGGTGTGTCTGTGCCCTATACATGCGTGTGTCCTCATTAATGTGTGTGTGTCCCCTATACATGCGTGTGTCCTCATTAATGTGTGTGTGTCTCTACACATGTGTGTGTCCCCTATAGATGTGTGTGTGTCCCCTATACCTGTGTGTGTCCCCTACACATATTTGTGTGTCCCCTACACCTGTGTGTGTGTGTGTCCGTGTCCCCTAGACATGTGTGTGTCCGTGTCCCCTATACATGTGTATACCCCCGTGTGCGTCGCGTCCCCGCTATCTGCGTGTCCCACCCACCCGTGTCCCCACTCCAACCCCATCCACGAGTTTCCCACTTG